GACCTCCTGGTGGCACCTGGTTTTGGGCCGCTGTGTGACTGGATGGGCCATTGGACTGGTTGGGCCATTGGCCTGATCCAACATGGCTTCTCTTATGTTCTTAAGTGTGAAGTCAACAAATGCGTAGTGAGCCCTCAGAAGCCCAGAAGATGGATGAAGTAGGGGAAAGCTCAGCAGCTGTACGTGCTGTTATTGAAAACAAACAGATCTTCCATTTCACCTTTCATTTCTAGAGCGATCAGGATGACCTGTGAGTAAATACACGAGAACCTTCCTCTGACATGTAGTCTGGCCCCAAGGTCAAAGGTGAACCCCTAGGCGGCTTCCCGGGCCTGTTCAGTGAGATACGAATTGGCCTCCAGTATAACAAGGCAAAATGTTTGGTCACTGGCTGCCATTACTTCCAGTTTGAAAAACGATAAGGCCGGACTTCACATTTGAAAACATTTCTGAGGAAAATGACTACTTGTTTCAGACCGCCTGTTAGTCTGAATCCAGCTTTTGACCCAATAACAAGTCTGAATCCAGTTTTTGACCCACTAAAAGATACAGGAAGCCTCACCGGACAACCGTAGGGAACAGCTCAGCAGAGAACACGTATGAGGTAGAGAAGGAACCAGACATGGAAAACTTCCCAATGATGGCCAACACTGTTATCACCACAGGCAAATCTGAGGAGGAAAATTATATATTTTTAAGTCATAGATACATAACAGAAGCCAATGTTGGATCAGGCCGATGGCCCATCCAATCTGAAACACTGTCACATGGTGGCCAAATCCCGCCAGGCCAATGCACCCAAGAGTATAAAAAATGGAAAGAAGCAGGTCTAACAACATTAGAAGACCTGACATTAAACAGGGAAATAATGAACAAAATCATAATGGAAAAAAAATATGAATTAAGCATACCATGGTACCAATATCTCCAAATTAACCACCTATGCTCAGAAATAAAACTTAGAGATATTCTGCGAAAAACCATAACTCCTTTTGAAGCATTGATAAGAGATGCAGACGAAAGTAAGGAAGGGGTAATATCCAAAATATATGCCATCTTAACGTCCTTTCAAGAGAACACAATGCTACCATATCAGAAATACTGGGGGGAAGTGTGTAAAACAGAACTCACCCAAGATAAAGGGCTAGATATCTGGAGAACCTACGAAAACAAATCTCCTATAATTACACAAAAATGGCAAAATTTCAGAATACTATCCACCTGGTACAAAACTCCTCAACAAATATCATACATTGCAAATAATTCAAGCCCACTTTGCTGGAGGGGGTGTAAGGAAATAGGCAGTTACATACACTGCTGGTAAGATTGCCTGGAGGTAGCATCCTTCTGGGATAAAATAATAGAAGAAATAACGATCATAACCAAAATCAAGATAGACAAATCCCCGGAAGCTCTGCTTTTAAAT